GGACTCAGCCTGGCTCCCAAGGGTGATCGCTAAATGAAATGTGAGTTACCAACACAGGATTAGCTTGGATACCTCAAAAGTACAAACCCTGGAGAACACCATCCCTCCTTACAGCTCAAGGTAAGTGTACAGTTTATAACTTTAATCCAATACAGTAAATGTGAGACATAAAATGTGCCATCGAAATATTTTTTCACATTGTCTGTGGAACTATTTTGATAATTGTGTAGAGAGCACTGCCATGGCATATCTCACTATTCTCAGAAGTTTTACAAACCAGTTAGAGAAAATAATCATCTGGTTAATCCATAATGAAAATAATCATAGCTGCATGTCTGCATTTGGATACAAAATAGTTAAGTAAAGCTCCATCTCAACCAACTTCAACAGTCAAGTCCTGCTTTTACCTCTGGGTGAGTGATTGGCTAATAATGTAATAATATAATCTACTGTATAATATAAAATCTTTCTGCACTGAGTAGCATACTAATGCTATTAATTAATATTTACTTAACATTATTAATACATGACTTTTTGTAACAGACTTATGTAACAGAGTAGGCTATGTTTACAATGTATTAATATTAGTACTATGGTATAATGCAGCTCTCAGCGATAAGGAACAGGCCCAGGCACTACAACAGCAGGCAGTTGATGGTATTAAAAGCATAGAAGCTGATGGGGGATTAAGTAGATTCATTTTTGAGAAAATAATAGTAAATAGAATATTGTTGTTCCCCCCCAGTTTCAAGTAATTCAATGCAATGAGCCTATACACTGTGATACAGTCAGAGGCAGTATGCACCTTAATCGTTGGTTCTCAGTCCATCAGAAAACAAAGAAAAAAGAATAAGGCCTCCTCCCAAAGACAAACGGTTTGCAGTTTAGTCTTTTCCCTTACCAAAAAGAAGTATACCTCAAGTACATGTTTTTTAAGTATACTAAAGTATTTCCCCAAGTGTACTTTTATTTACCAAGTACACTGATTCAAATGTACTAGCAGTTTACTAACAAGTATACTTCTTGGGACTAAATTGGCCCACTTTAAGTTTATGAAAGTACACTTTGAAGTATACTTTAGGTAATCTTCCAGGTATACTGTTAGTTTACTCTTAATAAATTTCAAGTCTACTTTTAGTTTATGTAAGTACACTTTAATGTATACTGAAAGTAATCATCTTGGTATACTATTAGTTTACCATCAGTAAACTCTAGTGCCCATTTTAGTTTATGAAAATACACTTTGAAGTATATTGAAAGTAACCTTTTAGGTTTCCTATTAGTATACTAATAATAAACTTCTAGTCCTCTGGTTAGTGTACAAAAATACATTTTCAAGTGTACTACAAATAACCTAGTAATACCTCTAGCTCCTAAGTGACAAATATTGATTGCGGTATTTTATTGAGCTCAACTGAACAGTTCCAAATTTACACTCACATATTGCAAATCTAATTGCAAGATTTGCGATATTGTTTTTAAAACCAAGATTCAGTTCACAGAGCACATTTTAAACCTGTCTGGAAGCACTAACACTTCAAAAAAGACTAAAATATGAATTGTGAAACTTCCACAAGAATCACATACCTTTCAGAACAAGGGAAGCAGGTTTTAACCATATACAGTATTTGGTTTTGTGCAGAAATATTATATTGCCAAAGTTTAAATGTCCAATGTCTTTTTAGTAGCAGCTTGCTTGTAGTTTTCATTGTTGCATTTTTTTTGGATTATTCTTCTTACATCTTGTACGCTTATTCCTGGGAACTTTGAGAGAGCGTGGCCTGTGAGTTAAACAGATAAAACACAAAACAAAGTATCAAAATGTACTTTTATAACATTCGCAGTGTGAACATTCTCAGCTTTTCACCTCAGTAATTTTTCCATAAATCATTCTACATAAATAGAGGTTGTGTACTAATTGATTTTAAATTAATTTCATACACTCACCAAGAATAGCATCGAGTTTTGTGCCATCGAGTTGAGGTTTTGATTCCACATCTTTGTGTGCTCCTGACTGTCTTCCTGTCAAACTTGAGCAAGACAATGTTTCCCTGCTGTAGACGAGCACTGCAAGGTCTCCAATGTAAACTGATGAATTTGAAGTTTGCAGAGAGTTAAGCTTCTGTCTGGGGACTTTGACATCAGAGCCTGGCACAAGAGACACCTGCAAAAATGATAATCAGTTATTTAGAATTGGCCATATATTATTGTTACTGTACACACATCTACACAAGTAATGAACTACTGTAGCAAATCCTCACTGTAAAAAAAAAAAAAGAAAGAAAGAGAACTTATTTATTTAGATGTGATAGTGCTGCCTGAAAAAATTTTGTGTAGTAATCTTACACTAACATGTGAAGAATAATGTCATGTGATTTCTTATAATTGAGTTATGTTCTGTTGGGTTTGTATATCAGTTTTTGGGTATACACACGCAATGTGTGGATCAGGTGAGATGACTGCACATGGTTTAGTCATAAACACACGCCAAATGATTCTTGATTCTGCAGTTAGGGAAAATTGTAATTACAATTGGTGAATTTTACACTGCTACTCTGATGAATTTTTAATCTGTATTTCAATTTTGCTTTGTATGTTACAATGAACCTATTTTCCATTCAGTGCCTATAGGATTGGGAAGTATTAAAATTATAACTGTGCCATCTAGTGATAATATGACACAAACGGACTCAAAGCCCACCCTTAAATGGTTAAAACATTAAATGAACTTATTTTGCCTGTGTCCGCATCAGAAATTTTGGTAAACCACATTGCAGAAGCAATCTATGAAGTCAAAATGCAAACTTTTTCTGCACTAAAAGTAGCTTAAATTAGACACAGGCCATAAAAAAACACATTCGAGACTTGGGGTGCAGCAGTAAACTGGGCTGCGACAGAAATGTAATTAGAATGTACCAGTGCAGTACAAGCATTACCATGTCAACAGACTCCAATTCAGGAGACGCAGGTGTAGAACCTGGCAGTTCTGATCGCACTGGTGTTGATCCGGCTGATGCACTGCTTGAGGTCCAAGAAAATTGCTCTGTTATGTCTTTTAACTTCTGCATGACTGCTGGAAGCTCTGTTGAGAATGAAGATGTAATTGATTAAAAACCTCTAAGCCTTGTGTCTGCTAGTAAAGCAAAGTTCCAAATCGTAAAATAAAGATTTTGTACAAGTTTGAATAAGCTAGATATAATCCCATGTACGTATATTCATTTACAAAACTACTTGTTATGCACTTATGAGTGATCTCATCTCTACATGAAAAGACTAAAAAATATTTTCATAAACGTACCTTTCATTGCTTCCACTATCTTTTTTACATTGCCTTCTTTAAGCCTCTTGTTTTCAGCTATTAGTTCCTTTATCTGCAGCCGAGCCTTGCTCCAGTTCCTGGGCAGCAGGTCTTCGTCAGATGATTCCTCATATTCTGTTGTTGACTACAAGACACGGACACAAACACCAAAACACACACAGAGAAATATAGTGTCATACACAACATGATTGATGATGATGACAAACACAAGGCACACATTTACAATTAAACAACATTTAACAGTCTACGGTTTCTTCATCAAAAATTACTGACTTAAACACTAAAGCTTGTAAATATTCCAATACATTACCTTTAAAACTTTTTGTTTTGCCATCAGATCCTTCTTCAAGTCTTCAATCATTTGATCTGCAGTCTCTTTAGCAGGACAGGTTGCCTTTTTAGTTTTTTGCTGCAATTGACAGTTTATAGTTTATTAGCAATGATGTACATTCATTTATTTAAAGGGTAAATATTTAGTTCTCATTAGAATAGAGGTACCATTTCTCCAAATCTTAAATGTCACTTCTGATTTGCACTGCATGCTATTCTATTCTAAAATAATTCTGAGAGCCATAATCTGCATACTTTTTACTATTATTTACCTGTTTTGATTGTCTTTGATTCTCGTCTTCCTTGTTGTCCTTCCACTTGCTGTTGGGCTTTATCTTCCTCTTTCCTCCCCACTCTTTATCTTCCACTTTTTTCCAGATGTCCTCACCCTTTAACCACCTCCGCATCCTTACCCAAGACAACTCGAACAAAAACCCAACTTACATGCTACCTATAGGAAGAGCCCATAAACAGATCCACTTGGGTTGTGGCACAACAACCAGGTTAAATTTCCTCTGTTCTCTAAAGTTGCCCACAAATACATCTGTGTTTGTGCAATAAGCACTCAGGGAGTCTTTATCATGCCACCGAGGCGAGAACAATGTTACCCTTGTCCAATCCTCTCGGAAGCCACATAAGGTTAACCTGTTAGTTTCCTAACACGCATCAAGGGTGTGAAAACTCAGGGCTGGATACAGACATTCACAGAGCTAGGATTGTTGTGATCTGTGGAACAGGAAGTAAAACTAAAATCCACAGGTTCAAAAAGAAAAACGACTCTAACATGGTGTGTTTTAAACAGATAGCCTCAAGTAGTTGATGATCACGGCTGTCAGAATAAAACAGAATTTGCCTTTTGAATGTAAAATCTAACACGCAACGACACCATTTCCCTTGATATTGTAACTCTTGAAATGAGGACTTCTGTAGCAAATATAGCTATGTCCCTTTTTTATTTTTTACATTAGGTTTTTTGGAGATAACAGGGATAAATGTGATTGCTGGTTCTTTCACTGTTTTACTATTGGTGGCAACTCCGCTCTGCAGTGCTGCGGGGAATTAATAAAAGGCAAGTATAAGCTGTTTTCCTTCTGCCACTGAATAGCTGAATAGCTGCAGTAGAGCAACTAAAGTGCCATGATAACTGTGGAGCAAGAGAAGAGTATGGTTTTTCAGTTTGCTGAGTTCAGATTTTAAGTGCAGTGTTTCAAAGTGGCTGACATTTCACAGTTACATTTGTCTAACATTAAGGCTTCTGCTGCCTTTCTTTTCTGTCCACTCCGTGAAATCACCCATTCAGGCTAATGCTGCATTCATACTGTATAGACGTGCTGGACAAAGAGTCTTCTTAGAGTATTTAAATTCATTATTATTTCAGTTCTTCACTATTTTAAAAATAAAGCACATCTATAAAACCTGTTAGCAAATGAGTGCTAAGTTACAGCTTATGCTATTGTAAAACTGAAAAACGACTCATATTAATAAATGTATGCCCATAGTACTTAATTAGCCACAATCATTTTCCATCTGTGTGTGACTGGGCCAAGGTAAAGGCCTGGTCAAAGGTGGTCTCACCTTTGGATTTACACGCAAAGAATATTGCACCCCTGGATAATGAGGCCAATTTGAACTCGCCCACAGATAAGTCTGAAAAATACAGAGACCCTTATTTGATCCAAAAAGGATTAGGATTTATTTGAGTGTATATATAAACTGACAGTGAATCAATGTTTATAACGGCCTAGCACCAAAGGCCAGAATACTGCCCTTCAAGACAACCTACCTACCCACTTTTAGAATATACTGTATATAGGACAAATATCTCACAAAGGGTTAAACAAGAATAAAATGGCCCAGGTCAACGGGTTGAAACAGACCCACTAAATAAAACGCCACAAATCAACTCAGCACGATCAAAAACAAAAGAAAAAAAAACACACTCAACAATACAATATTAACTGTTAGGAGGGTCTTCCCTTCCTGTACACCAGACCATTAAATACTTGCTCATACACAATAATATTAACCCAGCCCTACCTGCACTGACAGTACAATAAGTATGAGTGATAATGTTGTGGCTAGAATGTGATACAGACTAAATTAATTCAGACAAATCATCCCAATTTGAGTAATCATTTAATACTACAATTATTCTGAACAGAGTAGTAGTTAACTAAGCCATCTGGTAGTTGGGAAACAGAACAGAATCACTCTTCCTGCAATGGGATAGATAAAGTATTAAATAAGAAGATTATCACAGCGCCAGTCAGTCTTGGTCACAAGGTCCAGTCAGTCAGAGCCCATCCTGGTTGGGGGTCCAGTTAGTCCTGAGTTCGTTCCCCCGACCCCCCGGCCAGGTCTGTGGTACACTTTCACAGTAGCATTCTCATCCTCTCTTCTTCCTCCCTAACCCAGCTATCCTAGCCTTTTATCTGCTCGCAGTTGCACAGTCTTCCATGGCCTGAGCCAGAGACGCATTCTCATGCCAGCTCCACACCCCTTCTTCCGAGCATTGCCTAAGATGTCCAGTACATGAACATCAAATTGACCTAGCACACATTTCCTATTTCTAAACCTGAACAGAGCGCATGAACAGTTCACATAAGGCTGCAGCTATGTCCATTCCCCATCTAAGGAGGAAGTCACTTGGGATGTTTACCCACAAATTAAACAAGGGGGACACAGCCCAAGATATTCTTGCTTGAGCGAGAGAAGAGAAACAGATCAAGCTTACATAAACACCTAGCTCACCCTTACATAACTATTACAAATAATATCTATATATGAACTACATACTGTTCTATTACATATTACCTCTGGCCTGGTACCTTGTTTATTTTTAACCGCTACAATAAATTTAAGTAGGCTTCTTGACATAAAACACTCTAGGCAAAGCAGCAGTGGCTATTACTCCAAAAAAAAATTTTTTAAAAGCCACATTCAATAGAAAAAAATGATAAAAAATAATCAAAACAATTAAACTGCTCAAAAATACCCTGGTTACATGCCCCTTCCTACGACTCGCCATGTGGCATTTTATTAGCGCGACACTTGCAACAGATGTCAATTCCTAAAGGTACATACATGCAGAAACATTAACCAACAAATATATACAAATAAGATAATTTCTGCCCAGAACATACCTGTAGGATAGACTGCGAATCAATTGTCAGCTATGGGAGAATGTGCAGCAAACCCACATACAATCTATAAAGGCATTCAACTTACTAAGCATTTTGCACAACAGCAAAATCTAACATGCAATCAACTCGCCAAACAAAGACATACCTTGCCAAAAAAGGAGTATAGGACACAGGGCAATAATGAAATTATTTCATAATTTAATTACAGTAACTAGTTACTCCCCAACACTCTTGGCAAAGATGGGGTTACATGAATCATTTTCAGGTAGACTGACAAAAACGTGTCTCACAGCAAGTGCGATTATTTGCCACTAACCTTTGGAGGGAAGGCCCCTGACTAAGTTCTGTAGACAGTTATGATCCGAGGAATTCTTCAGATCATTTTTCAACATGATATCACACTTTAAGAGTTTGAGTCCACAACTACTGATTAAAATGTTTGTGGATTAGGGAGAAATCTAATGGTGGGTCAGTCCGCTTTCACTGGGTTGGCGTCTGTTTCCATCTGTTTCTAGCAGCAAGGGGATAGTTGTGTTGAATTGGGCTCAGCTGGTTCTGCTTCCATCCAGGGCTAGGTGGGGCTGACCTCTGTCTTTAATAGAGCCAGCTCATCAAGATGTGTGAGTGGCTGAAATGTTGCCCCAAGGAAAAGTGCTTACACATCTGAGGTTCACTTTTTATACATAATTTCATTGCAGCAAGATTTGAAAATGGAGTCTGTCACTTGGTCGTCTAATGAGGGTTTAAAATAATGCCTAGCAATGGCTCCATGTTGCAAGCTAGTAAAACCACACCAGCACCAAGAGTTATGTGTCGATCCTCAGCAGCTCAAACCACCCCCACATGATCAATGTGTAGAAGATGAGCAATGTGTTTTATGGTGCAGCGGAAACCCGGTTGTGCTGACTTTGGAGCACCTGAGCATGGGTCCACTGCATATGCTATGGCTCTGCAGGGCTGACTCGTGCTGATGGAAAGACCTCGTATTGCTTATACACTTACATATTGTGTAAATTCTTACTCTGTTCTTGTTGGCCATGGGTTTTACAGAGTTATTGCAGTGCAGGAAAACATGTCACAGTGTTCTACTGTGACCTGTTTTAACGCCATAACATTATGCGCACAATATTATACAGCAATCAGTGTGTGGCAGTGGCAGGTGTAGCAGAAAAGGGTAGGAAAAAAGTCAGCAGCACAGAATGATGCTAAATGACACAGAGAATGGAATAATGACAAAGAGACTTGACTTGTAACATCGACTGTTTCCTGTTTATTCCCTGGGTTTGTTCGGCCCTTTGAAGTCTGTCTCTAAGGAGAGCTTCTCTTTGAGATCTGTGTGAGCGTGTTCATGTACAGTATGAAAGTGTGTGTGTGTCTGTCTGTCTTTGAATATTTGTGTGATGTTGTGCAGAGAGCAGGTAAATTGGCTTGTAGCTCATGTTCACAGACGGTACCTGTCACTGTGAAACCTGTTCATTAGTGAGCAAGCATGGCACCCGCTGAAAATGAACCATAAATTAACATTAGCTCTCTGAGCAGCTGTGAATTTTTATTTGTTCCTATTCTTTCTTCTAATTCTTTTGTCTTCCATGCCTTATTTACCCCCCCACCCACGTCACTGCTACCATTGCTCCTCTATTGTTCTTCCGTTCCCTTCTGGACTTCCTATTGTGACAGGTATTCATTTCTGCACTAATGCAGTAGACATAGATTATTTTTAAATTATTCCAGAGTTCAAAAGTTCAGGATGTCTGAAATATGAATAGATTTTTTGGGGATTCGCAGCTAGCCTCTGCATCATGCCGTTGTTTTGGCATCGTGCAGAGTGAGAAGTCGACTGTGTTCTTTCCCCAGCCATGCTAATGATGTAGCCCACTGTGAAATGAGAAAAGAAGCTAGTTTCCAATTCTTACTCCTTTCTTGTTGGCCAATTATGCTCAGTGAGTGAGTCTGCTTTGAATATGAGATGATGCTCCTTTGTCATATAACAAGAAAACTGAATTTCCCATTTTGGCTATTTTGTCAACAAAACATCTCAATGGCTTATTTTGGTACAAAAGAAGACTTAAAAATGACATTATCCTCAGGCAAATTCTGGAGTTATAAGGAACATTTTTTGTATGTCTATTCTGGACAGACACCTGAGATAATGATATCCTCAAAAAGCATAAGTACCATTGAATATAAAATGTGCATGATGTCTGTGTGTTTAGATTTGGATGAGTTATGATATAAAATGTGGCAATTGGGCACAAAGGGGTTGC